GTTCCTTTTATGGTAAAGAAACTTATATCTAGGGGCGCCTGGGTGGCTCAGTCGGTTAAGCGGCTGCCTTTGGCTCAGGTCATGATCCCAGGGTGCTGGGATCGAGCCCCACATTGGGCTCCCTGCTCGGCGGAGAGCCTGCTTCTCCCTCTCCCTCTGTCTGCCCCTCTGTCTACTTACGCTGTCTATCTCTGTTAAATAAATAAATAAATAAAATCTTAAAAAAAAAGAGAAAGAAACTTACATCTAATAAAAGACCGACATTAAACATCAGCCTAGTAGCAGAGCACTGATAGAACGCTGGACTCATGATGGTTTCTGCAGACTCGACCTGCCTTCTCTGATTAACTCCAGGATAGGAAAGCAAACCTGACCAAGTCAGCACTGGATTTTCCTGTGGATCCAGTCAGGCTAGAACACAACTTCAAGATACTTGGGAACATCATGACTCTTGGGAAATAGACTGCAGAACATCATATACCGAACCTACCTGAAAATAGGTGCATGCTTTCAGAAAGGTTCTGAAAAGCTATCCAGATATTCATGTACATTTCTGTACAGTCAGCTGCTACATGAGTATTTTAAGAAACAGTTTGGGGATGTCACAGCAGGAACCTGGCCTTTATGTTTCAAAAGTACCAGCTTTCTTGCAGCTCAAACAGAAATAAAAGGGAAATAGCATCATTACCTGGCAGGTGTTCCATGTGACTCCAGCAGGAGTTCTCACCTTTCTAGCTCCAACATGCTTGCCTCCCCAGCCTTGTGAAAAAGAATGTTGTCTTGGCAGAACCTGAACCAAAAATAATGAAACATGGTTTCAACATTTTCATGCCATTTTTACCAGGAAATGTTTTCACTGGGAACACACTGGTCTACTTAGAACATGTGTACCTCTTCTTTGGCGAACAGAACATTTCTTTATTCGGTGGCCTCAGGAGCCTTTTTACCTTCAGCTGGATGGCGGGAGTAAAGAAATGGGACTCCACTGGAAAGGTAACTGTGCATCTCTGTCACACGTTTTCTTGCTGAGCTACATAATGGTTTATAAGCTCTCAGCTGAGACTTATAAAAGTGTTCCCAATTGTTGGTTCAAGGTCTGTAGCCAGCTTAGAAATTGTTGAAATGTACAAAATAAATGAGGAGAAAAAAAACAGCAGGGAAGGAAATTCTAGGTCATGCTTTTAAGAGCTGCTTGACAAAAAAAAAAAAAAAAAAAAAAAAAAAACAGAGGGGAACAATTTCAGTCTTCAGTTTTCTAAACCAAGTGTTTTGAGAGTCACAATATACTAATCTCTGGTGCAAATGACTGAATGATCGAAGAGGGTTTAATTCTATGTCTTACAAAATGCAAATACACCAAATTACGGTATGGAATCCTTGCCAAATACCAATAATCCTTGATTGTGTAGCTCAGTTAAACCTCTGTTGCCCTCTCTCTTGTAACCGTGGTTAAAAAAAAGAAAAAGAATTTTGAGTCGAGGTAAGAGACAGGAGACAAAGTGATGGCACAGCAAGAATAATATATTAAATTTTCAAGACAGTCCTAAAATACCTGAAAGGAACCTGAGGAAAAAATACTGCAATGCCCATAGGAAATGATATGCATGGGTAAGCTGATGGTGTCAGGTGAGGATATTTTGCTGTGCTAGGGTATGGGGTCATGGTTAGCATTGTGTCCTATGCACCATGGTTTTTCTGTTAAGCGATGCAGAGCCTAAGGTTTGCCCAAACTGAAACATTCCTATCACTTTGCATCTCTTCCCCCCAACTGCCTCTAATCACCCAACTCTGATTAATTTCTAGTCACCTCTCAGATCTCAACTCAAACATCACTTCCTTAGAGAAGCTTTCCCCGACTTGGCCTCGATGGAGTTGAGTGTCCTTATAATACACTCTTTCTATTTCCATATAGTACACATCACCGTTGATTTTGTATTATCAGTATGGGATTAATGGCTGTCTTCCACCATCTCCTTAGAGTTCAGCCTAGTGCCTGCCTTGGTAGCAGGTCTTCAACAGATGTTGGTTAATGACTGAATAAGCATAGCAATGGATAGACAAACATAATGAAGAAACAATAGAATGGAGGTGCTGAGGTGAGTCTATCTCCTACTGAGACAGAGAAGTCAACAGTCTTAACTCTGTTTTTAGACACAAACAGACCACCCTATCTTAACTTTTACAATTTATACATAAAATTCAGTAAAATTATTTTTTCTCCCCACTCTATAGAATTTCTGAGGCATGTTACCACTTTTCTGCCCATCTTAACATTTAGCACAGTGCCCACCATTAAAACACATCCATACTATATGAAGAAATTTAAGCCATATCTGCTGTGTGGCATAATTATTTCGTACTTGGGATTGGTGGATCTCTGAGAGAGAGACTTCAGGAAAAGGAGGCTGCTGAGGCAGGCACAGGGCCTACACATTTTCTTTTGTGGTATCTGCCATGAGCAGCAATCACACAGATCCTTGGGCATTTGACATCCTGGTGACACAGCACAGGACCTCTTCCTAAATGTGCATCAGCCTGGTTTTTTATTGTGCATTTTTTCAATAACCTGACTGTGGAAGAGTAATGTTTGTATTTCTATGGGAATGGATTCATGCAAAAACCAGTCATCTCTAAGGTCTCAAAGTTAGATGCTCAAAGGAGACTATAAAACATCATTCTTCCTACCTTCACTATCCTCCTTTCTGGCCATTAGATAGCTGCCCAGAAGAGAGCATGACCTAGAGGCAACCTCAGTGACAATGATGGGGAGCAATCTAACATCGTGGAATCCCATTGATGCTAGTAAAAACAAACATGACTGAAGCCATAACTCAGCAGCAATAAGTCTATAATGATCTAGCTCTCGAAATGGGAAATACTGGCATATCACTTATAATGGAGGTCTGACTCAATGCTCATTTAAGTGAACCACTCAGTCCTTACTTTTCTTTTGGGTCTCTGCAAAAATTTTTTTGTAAAATCCAGGGCATACCATCACGATTCTCAACTTTTCAGACATATACAGCCTTATTTTGTGAGTGACCACACAATTTGCATTGAAATTATTATATACTACCTTCCCTTTTGCTCTTTTTTTTCCCTACAGACAGAAATAGTCTTATGGTTACAGAGCCTTATCTAAACTATTCACAGTGATGACAGTCTAAAATACTTTCAGAAAAAATATAAATAAATAAATAACTTTCAGAACTACTTATTAAAAAAACTTGATTCATTCTCCTCCAAATACCAATAGCCCCAAGTTTGAATTCTACTCTGGATGGTTTTATGATCTTTGAAATATAACTTACTATCTCAGTAACTAAGTTTTATACTCGGTAGAACTAAAGGTTTAGGCCAATGCATTGTAAAGTTCCCTTCTAGGTTTGATTTTTAAGATTAAGTAATTACAGGGCACCTGGGTGGTTCAGTTGGTTAAGCGACTGCCTTCGGCTCAGGTCATGATCCTGGAGTCCCGGGATCGAGTCCCGCATCGGGCTCCCTGCTCGGCAGGGAGTCTGCTTCCCCCTCTCATGCTCTCTCTCTCTCTCTCTCTCTCTCTCTTATTCTCTCTCAAATAAATAAATAAAAAAACTTAAAAAATAAAAATAAGATTAAGTAATTACAATAATTGTTGACAGAGATGGGGGCCAGGTATTCTGCTTAGCATCTAATATATTTATCTCCAATAGTCCTATGACATAGGTACTATTATTATTGACATTTTACAAACGAGAAAAGCAGACACAGAGAGGTTATATAATTTTCCTAGGATCATTCAACAGAAGTCAGTGGAGCTGGAATGGAAATCCAGCTCTGACAAACTATTCTGCACAAATCTGACAGAGGTCAGGGGAGTGAAGATAAAATTAACGCAAACGTTAAAGTCAGTCACTTCAGAAAATCTCAGTGGTATCTCTGGTTAAGAATATTATGAATTATTATTAATTATTCAATTGCATACAAACAAGGAAGAATATTTTATGTCACCAGCTCTATATGGCCCCTAAGCTATATTCTACCAACACAACTCCCACAGGCTTCACTCACCACATGCCACCACATAAATGTATGCACAGACTCATGAGTGCACATGGACATACACACAGTTCTGGATCAAGTATATCTACCTACTGTAAGTCTATCTTACATTACAAAATGACTTTTTGTAAAGCAACCCTTACATAATAAGATTAATTGTTTGAAACTGGATTTTTATAGAGGTATTGGTACTTTTCATTTAATTTCCACAGAAATACCTAGAGAGACAGCCACACACATACAAAGTCATTGGCCTGAAACTAACACACTTTCTTATTACCAAAATTTTTTTCTCTTCAAGTTATTTTTGCTTAAGGCAGCAACAGACAAGAATCAAAAAGACAGAGAAATTATAGTGACACAGAAGGAATACAGAAATAGGAGTCAGAGGACTTAGATTTGATTTTTAACCCATGTGACCAGGAGCAGGTCCTCTTGCTGCTTCATGCCTCAGTTTTACCATTTGTAGCATGGGGAAAATGACAGTATTTAGCTGGGAGTCTTAATGAATAAAAAAAGTTATAAAAAAGGATATGCTAAAAGTTGCTAAGAGAGTAGATCTTAGTTCTCATCACAACAAAAAAAATAATAAAATAAAGGTTTTAGGTTATAGATTAAGTTTGGGTTAAGAGAATATATTCAATTTTGTTATTTAATCTTTTTTTAGTTTGTTTCTTTTATTTTTTATTGTTATGTTAATCACCATACATTACATCATTAGTTTTTGATGTAGTGTTCCATGATTCATTGTTTGTGCATAACACCCAGTGCTCCATGCAGAATGTGCCCTCTTTAATACCCATCACCAGGCTAACCCATCCCCCCACCCCCTCCCCTCTAGAACCCTCAGTTTGTTTTTCAGAGTCCATCATCTCTCATGGTTCGTCTCCCCCTCTGACTTACTCCCCTTCATTCTTCCCCTCCTGTTATCTTCTTCTTTTTTTTTTCTTTTTTTTTTCCATACACAAGCTGGTGATACTTTATTATACAAAGAAGTTGGCAAAGGACAGCTTCATTTTTGTCAAAGAATCTCCACCAAAAATTTCTAGTGATTCATCTGGTGATGCAGTTAATGTAATACAACAATAGCTGATATTTACTGAGTCCTTGCAATATTCCGGAGCTATTAAATGAGATGCAAATCCCACCATAAAAACTGGACTTTTCATTAGGACCCAGACTTAGAAAAGACCCAGCTTCAAAGATTCAGACTTGCATAGACTGAGGATTCCCATTTCCAGAAATTCAAAAACCTCCTTTCTTATCTCGGGAATGTCCATCATCCTTCTCAACTTCTGATCTCTCCAATTCCAGTCAAAAACCAGAAACTTTAAGGGGTTCAAATTAAGGCCACCTTGTTTAATGAGTTCTTTAATTCTCTCTGGTGTTCCTACACTTCCTACACCCAGGTGCACAACACGCTTCCCCGGCAACTTTACCTGCTCCTGGACCTTTATGTGTTTTGCAAATAATTTTATAACTTTGCTGTCTCCTCTGAATGCTGTCACTGACCTAATGAGCTCCAAGGCTCGGATAGCAGAGCTACAGATCATCAGCATCAGGACCGATTTCTTCTCATTATGGTTCTTCCGAAGTTTTACCCACTTAGGGCAGATTTCTTTTAGGTATGATGAAAGACTATGAGTCAAATCATTGGCCTTGAGGAAACCGGAGTCTGGTAGGTTTAGTTCTTCTAATTCAATCACTGAGCGACTGCTGCTGTAATAGTCCTTCATCAACTTCTGTAGGTCTTCAGGGGTCCCTGGTTTTGGCTCTGATTTTGCAAGAACATCAGTAATTTTCTTCTTTTTTCTCCTCCTTGTCTTGGTGGCATCTTCTTTTGTTTCCTTTGGTTGTATCAAGAAACATTCTTTCGGCTGTTCGGTTTTCTTTGACAGGGCAGGAACTGGAGCTGTCTCTTGCTGCATCATTTCTGGGTCTCCTCCTCCTTCATCATCTGGTGCTTCTGGGCTGCCGTCTGCTCCTGCAGGCTGGTTCTCCCACCACTCGTCTCCAAGATCGTCTGCCATCTCCAGGCGGGACTAGTTGTGAGCAGACCACCAAAGGAAAGCGGACAGTGGCAGGTATTCTCGCTGCCTCCAAGCTGGGAGGCCAGCGTTGGCAGCGAGCACACGGTGCCTTTCCTCAGACACCATCACCTCCACCTCTTTTTTTTTTTTTTAACATATATTGCATTATTTGTTCCAGAAGTACAGATCTGTGATTTAACTCATTTAAAGAAATTGTTGCTGTGGCTTATCATTAAAAATATATGATATGACTATAAATAGAGAATTAGAAATTATTTTACCATTTTTATTCTAGTATAATTAACATATAATGTTATACTAGTTTCCAAGTGTACAGTATAATGATTCAACAATCCTATTTTTTAAGAAATGATTTCAGTAGGGCTAACAAAAGTCTTAGGGTAGAACAATATATTTTCTTCTAGACCTGATTATCTGAAAAAGAGAAAGTCTTTTTAGGAGTATGTATTCAGTTTCGGTATTCGAAATACCCTCCAGGCGTTTTCACCCAGAAGCAAGTTAGACAGTGTTTTGCTTAAACATAATTTTTCTGTTTATGCAAATCCTTTTAAGAGAATTGAATGTGATGCCTTTATATATTTTTTTAAAAAAAGGACATTCATTTAATGAAAACAACAACAACTAAACAGGATACTGATCTAAAGTCTGAATGATCCTTATTTTTACTCCTGGATCATCAGTTTTGAAAGCAGTATCCATTGTCTGTTAGAAGTGTTACAATACAACATGTTGAATATTCTTTAGCAAGTTATTTCTTCATGAATTTTTTTAAATGTGGGCAAAAAATGTGCATAAATTTGCAGTCACTAGGTTAAACAGCTAACTTAGCTATTAGAGTGCATATATTTATTATATTCTGGTAGTAATTCCTCAGTTAAGCTAATAACATAGTCTCATTTTATTTAAGTAATTTCAAATTTAATTAAAGAAAAATAAAGAATATTTGGGATTTTAATGGAATGATAAATGTAGTTGACCCTTAGTCAAATATGAGTAATTAACAGAGAATTATATACCCAAATATTACTTAGAAATGGACTGAAGAAATAATACACACATATCTATATATAAATAGGTATAAATATATAAATTAAATCAAGCATACAGAAACAAAATTTTTTTAAAAATTGAGTATTTGTCAAATCTCTACAAGAAAATACTTCCTAAATTTAAGAGTCATACAAAAATCTCGTAAAACAAATGTTGAGGGATTTCACTTTCAAAAACAATGTGCTGGGCAATTTGAACCAGCCCTCCTACTGAGAACAACTAGAAAAGCTGAATTCATATACGTGAAAGCTAAGAAAAGCTAAAATATAGTGAATAATTGGCTGTCTAACATCCAAAGAAAGAGTGAAGTGCAGAGAGGTGAATCTGTCATTTGAGGCCACTTTTGCCCTTGGTGATGCAGCAGGAAGACTGATTAAGTTTGAAAGTCTCATAAAGTTAGGGAGCAAACGTTGAAGTACAATAGCCAAGGATGAAGGTCTTGATGAAACATCACCCTTTAGGTAGGAATCTGGAAGGGCTGTACCATAATAGTCATGAGGTAAAAAAGAGTTAGCAGGGAACACAGCTCAGCTTTGCATCATTCAAATAATTCAGAAAATGTAATTCCTTGAAATTGAATTGAAAAATATCTGAGATTGCTACTGAACTGAGGCTAGAAGAATCAGATAAAACGCTTTTTTCCTCTATAAAGGTAATATCCTAGGATTTAAACTGTTTCTATAAAGAAGTTTTCAAATACCACATCAAGTGACCATCAGTTGGGATACACCATGGATGAATAGATACAGGACAAGAGAAGACACCATGAATGACAAACAGTAAAAACAACAGACAGTAGAAAGAGATCCACAGAGGCTCCATATATAAGAATTATCAGTCATAGACTTTAAAATAACTGCACTTACTATGTTCGAGGGCATAAGAAAAACTGTGGCAAGAATTAAAAACTATAAAAAATTTAAATAACTGATATGAAAAAGAACAAAATGGGAGCTCCATAACCAAAAATTATTATAACAGAAATTAAGAACTCAGTGTTTGGTTTCAACACATTTAGCTGAAAAGACAATTAGCGAACTGGAAGATAGCTAAAAAAATACCTATGATAAAGCAAGAATGGAAAACATAGAAAAGTGTTTGAGAGACATAAGGGATATAGTGAAAACATTACCTACAATAATTGGAATTTCAAAAGGAAAGTAAAAAAAAATTGAATGGATCGGGTACTATATTTAGAGATAATTCCCGAGAATTTTTCAAAGCTAATGAAACCGTTTAACACACAGATTAAAGACCAATGAACTCCAAGGTGGATAAATTTAAAAATTCACATCTAGATATATCATAATAAGATCAATGAAAAAAGAAAAGACAAAAAATCTTAAAAGTAGCTCTGGTAGGCAACATTCTGAGATGGCTCCCGTAAGATCCCTATCCCTTGATGTACATACCCTGTATAATTCCCTCATACCCTGGCATATATAGCCTGTATAATCCCCTGCCATGATGAGACCTGTGAATATGATGGAATAGTCCTCCCTTGATTACAGGTTACACTACATGGCAATGGTGATTAGACAGACACTACCTGTGGCTATGCCAAATTATATGACTCACTAGTAACAGGCTGGAGAGAGATTTTCCTGCTGGATTTGAAGAAGTAAGCTGACATGTGAGATAGCCACATGGCTAGGACCTGACGGCCTCTAGAACTGAGAACAGTCCCAGCCAGTAGCCTGCTAGAAAATAGGGACCTCACTCTTTCTACTGCAAGTAATTGAATTCTGCCAACAATCTAAATGACCTTGGGAGAGGATCCTGAGACTCAGATGAGATTGCAGCACTGACTGAAACTTCCATTGCAGTCTTGTGAGACCCTGAGCAGAAGACCCAGTTAAATATGCCAAAATCATGGTGGTGGTTATGTTGTAGTAAGATGCTAAGTAACACTTTTCCTTTTCATTATTTTCTAACTTTTCTTCAATACTTTGTATTCATTTCAGTATTTTAATTCTATTTATTTCATACTTTAGTTTTTTGAAGATACTATAAATGGAATTTTCCTGATTCAGCTTGGTATGAATTGGAAGTTTTCTGGAAAACATACTTGCACCCTTTCCGATCTTTTAGATATTCATTTCTAAATCTAATTGGTATCACTGATCTAATACCTAATCCATAGCTCATTTCACTTCAAATATAAAATACTTCTGGTTTTCTCTCCCCAACCCACCACACTATTAAATGAATACTTATTTCCTAACTCATTAAGTGACATATTCTTAGAAATATTACTCCAAATATCAAATGGAAAATTAAACTCCCTTTGACCTTGTTTTGATTTTCATAAAGAAAGATGACAAATTTGAACATGCTTGTATGACATGACAATAATTAATCTCCTGGATAAGTAAAGTGTTCTTAGAAGATTAATGTTTCATTTCATATAATGAAATTTATCAAATTTTTCTTTCATGGCTTCTGGATTTTGTTCACTGTTTAGAAAGTTTTACCACCTAAAGATTATTTTTCTTTAATTCCTATATATTTTCTTATATTTCATTTTTATGGTTTCAACTTATTTTTACATTTACATTTTGATCCACATGAAATTTGGTGGTAAAAATTAGTAAAGATCCACCTTTATTTTTTTCCAATTTTCCTAACCCAATTTATTGAATAATCCGTCATTTCCCCTTTCTTAAAATGTATGTTTTATTATAAACTACATTTTCATATATTTCCATGTCTGTTTTTTGATTCAGTTTTATTTTATCAATCTCTATGTTTATTCTTATGCAAACTGTTTTATTTACTGCAGCATAGTGTACTAGTTAAGAGCATTAGATTCTGGGCCTGGGGCAAGATGGCAGAGGAGTAGGAGACCTGGATTTCATCTGGTCTCAGGAATTCAGCTGAATATGGATCAAACCATTCTGAACACCTACAAACTCAACAGGAGATCAAAGAAGAGAGTAGCAACAACTCTCTGAACAGAGAAGCAACCACTTACTGGAAGGTAGGACGTGCAGAGAAGTGAATCCGAGGCGATATTCGGGAGGATACACCGGGGGTGAGGGGGGCCTCCCTCGGCCGCTTCTGGCAAGTGATAGAGCCGCGGAGCACAAAATCGGAACTTTTAGAACGCGGCTCTGCTGAGGGACGTCGCTCCAGTGGCTAAGCGGGGGGTGTAATCCTCGCGGGACAGTGTGGTCTCAGGACCCTCGGGGTCACAGAAAAACCGGGGGTGCCTGAGTGCAGCAGAGCTGCCATGTATTGGAGCGGGGAAGCCGGCTGCAGAGACGGAGCCAAGGCGCGGGCTCTCAGCTTGGGGTTGCCATAAACTGTGATCGGTGACAGTTGGGCCACTTCTCCTCCAGCAGGGACCCAACAAGCGGCAGATCTGGGGAGACTCCCCTTCCTCCCCCGGGAGGAGCGGCGCGGGAGCGCACCGCAGGGATCTGCTGGGTTTGGAGACTCCACACGGGGTCGGGTGCCAGAGATAGAAACGGTCGGTCACAGGCCGTGTGAGCACGCAGTGCAGCCGGAGACCAGGGAGACGGGAGTGACTGCTTTTCTCTGGGGGCGCACTGAGGAGCAGGGCCCCGAGTTCTCAGCTCCTCTGAGTGGAGATTGGGAGGCCACCATTTTCACCCTGGTCCTCCAAAGCTGTACCAAGAGCATGCAGGGAACAAAAGCTCCTGAGAGCAGCTTGCTTAGCCTGGACGACAAGGGCCGGGCAATTCCAACTCCGGCAAAGACATTTGGGAACCACGGCAACAGGCCCCTCCCCCAGAAGATCAGCACGAACAGCCCGCAAGCCAAGACCAAGTTTATCAATCAAGGAGAACGGGAGAACTCCAGCGCTAGGGGAATACTGCACATAGAATTCATGGCTTTTTTTTTAACCATGATTCATTAGTTTTTCAAAGTTAATTTTTTAACTGTTTTTTTTTATTTTTCTTTTTCCCTTTTTCAACCAACATCTTATCAATCCCTTTTTAAAAAAACATTTTTTTATTTTTCATTTTTAGAGTCATATTTTATCCCTTCATAGTAGTTACCCTTATTTTAGGCATATATATATGTTGTTCTCTC